GGGTCTGGCATCAGGGTGGAGGCAGGCTGGGTGTGAGGCGGATGAGCCCCCTGGGGGGGCGACTGCGGCTGCATGGAGGGGGGGAGGCCCAGCAGTGAGTCCCAAGGGTTAGCGAGGTGGCGGTCACGTGACCTCGAGCTGCATGGTGCTGTGCTGGGGGTGGGGCTTCAAGAGAGAGCGAGGCAGAGAAAGGGAAGAGCTGGCTATAAAGGCGAGCCGAGGCGGACGACAGCCCGGGGGACGTGGGGCCCAGGGGCTGCCGCAGCGTCTGCGGGCCAACAGGTGTCCTCGGGAGAGGGAAGGGCCGCCTGCTGGAGGGCTGGCCTCAAGGTGGGGGTCCACTGCCATGTGGGAGGGCTGCCCAAATGCGGGCTGGGAAGCTGCTGAACCGCACAGAGCTGGGAGGGGCGTCGAGGCTCCAGCACTGGGAGAGCTCCTTTCCACATGGCTCTGTTTCCTCAGGTCGGAAGCAAAGTCACCAGCTGAGAGTGAGGATGGGAGGGGCGGTAAGGACAAGGAGGTTGGAGGGGGGCAGTGCACAGACCGCAGGGGCTGAGGCCTCTGGCAGGGCAAGGGCCTTCCCGGTGGGGCTTGTTGGCAGGCAGAGAGCCTGCAGCCAGGTGTGGGTGTGGCCCAGGCCGTGTCGGTTTCAGTGAGGCTGCCACACCGGGGTGGGCACCGAGGCCAGGGCTTGAGGGTGTGTGTGTGTGCGGTGATGTTAATGATGGACTGGAAAGGAGGCAGTGGTGGACAGGCGGGACGATGGGACGAGTAGACCAGCGGGGTTAGAACTGTGGGTGCCTGTCTTCCCGCGGGAGCGAGCTGGGTGGGAGCTGGAGGGCAGGACGCTGGGTATGGCCATGGAGAGCGCGCATGCGCCAAGGTGGGGCTCCCACTGCCACTTGAAGGCCTGGCTGTGACCCTCCCTGTCCCTGACCTCCAGCGAGTCCTGCCTTGCTTCCTCTGGGCCACTCCTCTCTGCCCCCCTCCCTCGCCATCAGGCCCCTTCACCTCGGACATGACCCCTAGCCGGCTCCCTGCGGCTCCACTTGCCCCGTGAGACCCATCCACACGCAGCAGCCGTGAGAATCTTCGGAAAAGGAAGCCCAGACCAGGGCCTCCCCAGGGTCGCATTCCACGCCGCGAGGTGCCTGCCTCCCCGCGCTGCCCCAGGCAACCTCCACAGGCCGAGGCCTGAGGCGAGGGCTGGGCACGCCTACCGGAAGTGGTCCACCTGGTTGAGCACGTAGATGTGGTGCCGGATCCTCTTCCTGCTCAGGAAGCGGTGCATGTGGGGCACGAAGACCAGGAGCTCCTCGAAGCGCTCGCGGAAGGGCACCAGCACGGCCAGGCGGTGGGGGCCCTGCGCCGCGTCTTCTTCCCCGCGCTCAGGGGGCGGCTCTGGCGGGCAGACCCGGGGCTGGCCCAAGGCCTCCTGCCCTTGGCCCCTGGCTGCCTGGGCCACATTGCCAGAGCAGCTGAGCTGCAGCCAGAGTAGGGAGAAGAAGCCCAGGAAGAGACAGGCAGCGAAGAGGTGGAAGACGGAGCGCTTCCGGGGGAGGCCTCCGGGGAGCAGCCTGGACCTGGGGTGAGAGCGGGGGCAGGTCAGGGGCCGGGCCGAGCCAGCGACAGACCCCTCCTGCGGCTCCCCATGTGCGGGGCACATGCGACTGGCCTACCCAGTGCCTGGGAATTAGTGCTGAAGCAGCTCGAATGCTATTGCTGAGGCCTTCACCATGTAGCAGAGACCTGGGCCTCTCTGGGCCCCGGCCCTGCCACCTCTGGGAAGCCCTCGGGTCACGCCCAGGCCACAGCTGCCCAGGGCCTGCGGCTCTCTTACTTCCTGTGAGTGAACCATGAGCTGCTGGGGGTCAGGGTGAGGCGCCCACTCTGGCACATGCCTCTCCCCAGGTGGGAAACGGAGCCGCCTTGGAGAGCCTCCACTGCCTTCCAAACCCGCTCCCCGCAGACCGGCCCTGGCAGCGTCCCCGGCTGCATCCTGCTTTCCAGGCAGACCAGAAAGGCCCCGGCACTGGGGAATGTGCTGGCATCAGTCCTGGTGACGCAGCCGGGGCTTCCTTTGGGAAGATCAGAAGCAGCCCTGCCCCAAAGCAATGTGAGGCCCCAGCTGTCCGGCAGGGACGAGTCTCAGGCCTTCAGTCCCAGAGGCAGCCCGTGTGACACGCAACAGGAGACAGAGGGGGAAGAAAGGTGAGGGCTGGGACAGCACCCGAGTTCACTCCAGAAGCTGGAAAGGCAGCTGCACATCCTAGACGCTGGGGTGCTGCTGGGGACTGCCCTGTAGGTGAGCAAACACAAGAATTGGGGCATCGCCGGGTTCCTTTGCCCTCCTCTGGAAGGTGCTGAGTGTGGAGAGAGCTGAGGGGTCCAAGAAGGGGACTGTCTTGTACTCCTTCCACCTCGTCCCCAAAATAACCCACGAAGGAACCTACTCACAACCGCTAAGCCAGCAGTCAGTTTCTGGGTTATAAATTCCACCTAAGCCCCTGTGAGCCTTCCTTACTGCTGTTCCTCGCCCTGCGCAGATCCTTCAACTTCCTGATGACCCATCTATGCAGACAAGATAAAGACCAAGGTCTCTGGCCTGACATTCAAGGCCCCCTGTGACCTGCCCCGTCTCCAGGTGCTCTCCTGCCGGCTCAGAGTGTCACTCGCCACACGCCCTCCTGCTCCTGCCCTCACATGACCGCTCCTCCTGCCTGAAATGTCTTGATGTATTTTACCTGCCTGGAAGCCCCCTGTTGATCCTTCAGGGCCAAACTCCAATGTCATGGCCACCACTGCCCCCGACCCCAGCCATGCTCCCTCCTCTTTGTTCCCAGGACCTTTTCCTCATTAAATCACTCGTTTGTAATGACCTGTGACCCTGCTTGTCAGACCATGTCACATTCATGCCTGTGGCCCAGCACACTGCATGTCAGATAGCAGAGGACGGCTAAGCAAGTTAAAACCATCGGTGCATGCTTCAAGTCACACACTAGAGCCAGATCAGCTCCTTCCTTCCTCTAGAGAAATGACTGCCAACCCAGAAGCCAGCAGCCCTGAAGCCAGGCCCAACACGCAGCTGAGAGGTGGCCCGCTAGGGCACCCTCACGTGGCTTCTGACTTACCCCCCATTGTCCTGTGCTGGTGGTTTCTGCTGGGGAGGAGTGGAGCCCAGTCCTGCAAGTGGCCCAGGAAGGCAGGAACCTCTACAGAGCCTCCCTTGCCCTCTGAGCTTTTTCTGGGGGCGGGGTAGAGACTGGAGAGATGGACATGGGGTCATATCCCACCTTTGGGAAGAGAAGCAGCGACATGATCCAGGGGTACAGTGTGGACTGGCATTCCATGCACTTTCACATGCTGTCCCCTTCACCTGCTTCCCCCTCCTGCCAGGATCACGTTCCCACAGGCATCCTCCTGCCTGTGCTCAAAGGGCTGGGCATCTGCACTGAGCTGAGTTCCAGCTCCTCAGGACAGTGGACAGCCGCTCCTGGTGCCACCTGGCGGCACACACCAGACCTGCAGTCTCAGCAGCTCCCAGGCCCAGAACTGGCTGAGGGGCATGGATGAGGCTTTACTGGTCAGTACGGCCCAGCACTCAGTTGCTACGCTAGCCTGCATGCTGCATGGCTCTCTGTACCCCTGTGTCAAAAGCACAGAACTGACAGCAGTAAACTTTTCTGAGAACACAGTTATGGAAAGGGATCAGGAGACAGAAGCGCTTCTCTCCGACAAGGCTTAGTAATGTGCAATTTGAATCCTCATCTGCTCTGGTGACAGCCTCTCAAAACTGCAGAGGTAACTGCAAGATGACTGGGACGTCCTCTGTGCCCGGCACAGTGTCAAAGGTTTTACATATAACGACCTCCTTTAATCCTAACACAGCCCTGCGGGGTAAATATTATGATCACTGTTTCTGCATGGAAAGGCTGAGGTCAGAAAGATTAAATGATCTGTTTCCGGTCATGTTATTAAAAAGGATTCCGGCCCAGGCCTGACCAGTAGTTCATGCTTTCTACTATATTCCTGCTTTTTCATTTCAACACCAAGCCTGAGAAATCCCCCAAAGTACACAGCTGTGCCCTCTAAATTCCAGAATCTTAGGACACCTGGCAAACGTAAGAAACATAAAGGAAATGAGTTGTCATCCACTGGGTAGAGATCTCCTGTCACGTTTTCTGGGTGAAAAGACTTTTGGGATGCACATCTCAAGCCTGAATTGTGGGTGCGTCCCTAGATCCAGGCAGTCAAATGACCTCCCGCACTGTGCTTTTATGGGAAACATCACTAGCTAAGGTCTGGGTCAAGCTCACACCTTACATGTGGAGCAAGCACAGCTGCACAGGAAATGAACTAATGCGTGTATGAGGAGTGCCCAGTACGTGCCAGGCAGTGCCCAGCTGGGCAGAGCGCCCGGAGCGTCTGTTTAGTGGGTTCTTACCGGTGGCCTGTGAAAAATGGAGAAGGACGATGGTCTGAGCTACATGGATGTGATGCAGAGGCCAGAGAAAGGGAATAAACAGTCTCAGAGGCCAGGCGTGGTGGCTCACACCTATAATGCCAGTACTTTGGGAGGCTGAGGTGAGATGATAGCCTGAGCCTGTGGGTTCAAGACCAGCCTGGGCAACTTGGCAAGACCTCATCTCTACAATAAATCAAAAAATTAGCTGAGCGTAGTGGCACGTGCCTGTATTTCCAGCTACTGGAAGGTTGAGGCTGAAGGATCACCTGAGCCCAGCGGCCACTGCACTCCAGCCTGCGCGACAGTGAGACTCCAACTCAAAAAAAAAAAAGAGCCCCAGAGACCCAGGACAGAGAGAGACAGAGACAGAGACAGAGATCCGCGCGAGAGGTCCACGGAGTCACAGACCCGCACGGAGACCCAGGCCGGTGGACAGACAGACTCGCAGCAGGGAGGCTCAAAAAGGAGGAACTGAAACTCACGAGGGGAGGACAGCAGAGGGAGGGGGACCCGCAGGAGACGCGCGAGGGACGGAAGCCGGGGGACACGAGACCCACGCGGGGAGGCACAGACGAGCCCCGCGGGCGCCGGGACCCGCGGGGACAGCCAGACCCTCCCGGGGGCCCGGGAGCCGA